CAGAAAAACGACTTTCAACTTTCATAATCACTTACCATAATTATTTAAGCCTTCTCATAATTATTAAGGTCAATTATGAAATTATCTCATTAATCACATAATTAATTAATTAATTTCCTAAATTAACGGTGCAGGTTCTTACATCAGTCATGTTTGAGTTAACTTGAGTTGTATATGTATCAGGATATTGTCTGGACTACATGTTGTAGTTTCGTGACTAGATACACAATTAGTTATACTAAGAGGTTATTCAATTAGTTATTTATTGCAGTTTACATACAGACGATATTTTGAAAAGGAATAAGTAATCCACTTGGTTAATAAAGAATATTTCATAATTGGAAAGAAAAAGTTAGCTTTCGCATTTAATTAGCTGCGCTATTACCATATGTATGTTAATACACCAGGTGCACACGGGTTGTTAATTACATTTGATGGTATCAGAGCAATTCTAGGGAAAAAGCCTGTATGTGTTGCAATAACTTAAGATGCCTTGTTGTGTGAATTGTCTGTTGTGTTTCTTTTGGGTTTTTACTACGATGATGCATACGTGACCACTTTGCGTGGGCCTGATCAACTCATTCTTTGTGTAACATGTGCAGAGTCTTGGTACTTCTTAAGAGGAACCGAGAGACGAAAGAGGGTTAGCCTGACCCGATCCTTACTGCATTAGCTGAGATGCAGGCGACTAGACAAGCCAACCAGGAGGCCGCTAGAGTGGCCAATCAGGCGATGATGGACGCCATGAGAGAGGCGAGCAGGAAAGCAACCGGAGATGTGCTTGAGGCCAATCGGTTGGCGAACATGACCATGATGAGGGTCATGTTGTAGGAGATGAGGGCTGGTCGCAATGATGGCAAGTTCCCTCCGCCACCACCTCCACCTCCACCGCCACCGCCACCGCCGCCTTTACCCATTCACCAGGATGGGCATGGAGGAGGTGGAGCGCACATTCTTGAGGACGATACTGAGAGTCGCATGGAGGGTGTTAGTCACCGTACAGGGATGATGCAACCCTTTTATGAGCCAGTGGAAGACCAGGTGACGCGAGACTGTCGGCTGAATGCTTTCCATAAGCATAAGCTACCCTCTTTTGATGGATCCTATAATCCTATTGTTGCTGCTAGATGGCTTCAGCACTGTATAAGATATTCAGGGTGATGTAGTGTATGGATCCTCAGAAGCTAATGTTTGCTACCTATATGCTGGAGGGAGACGCTCATGAGTGGTGGACGAACACCTCTCAGGTCTATGAGATGCAGGGTCATGTTATCACGTGACCATTCTTTAAGGAGCTATTTCTAGGGAGGTACTTTCCGTATGATTCTCAAGAGAGGAAGCAGGGAGAGTTCGAGCGGTTGGTGCAGGGCTCGATGTCGGTTGATGAGTACTTGGCTAAGTTCAATAAACTGGCCAAATTCGCCCACTTTAGGATTGCTATGCCTACACTGGCATTTTTGGCTTCTAAGTTTCGTAGGCCACTTAATGAGAAGATAGCAGACAGGATAGCTGGAGCGGCATCCAGAGACTTTGGCACATTGATTCAGTAGTGCAGGGATATAGAGGACGTATGTGTGGTAAGCAAGGCCAAAAAGGCCGAAGTATCTGAGGTGAAGGTAGCTGGCAGCTCCACTTCCTCGAAAGACAGGAAGTTGGAGGAAAGAGAAAAGGGAAGCAGTTATCTGCTAGGCAGGCGCCGAATCAGTTTAAGAGGACTTCGACGCAGGGTGTGCAGCTAGACCTTCCACTACTCCCAGGTGTACCAGATGTGGGAGATCACATGTTGGGCCGTGAGCCACCGGTAAGATCATTTGTTTCCATTGTGGCAAGGAGGGCCACTATGCCAGACATTGTCCTTTGTCAGCTGCTAGAGCTGCAGCAGTTCAGGCGGTTCCTCTTCAGATGATTCCTACTCCACCTACAGCGGCACCTGTCGTACCACCAGCCACGGGCCGAGTCTATACCCTGGATCGACAGCAGTCGGACCGAGCTCCAAACCTTGTGAGAGGTACCATTTTTATTGGTAGTTGTGCCATAGATGTATTATTTGACTCCAAGGCTACGCATTCTTTCATCGCGACCCCGATTGCTGTGGGCCTTGAGTTTCCTATTTCTATGCTTTCTCCACCGTTGCGAGTTACGACCGCCACTGGAGAAACAGTGTTAGGGAATATAATTATTGTCATGCACACCTATAGTGTAATTTGTAAACAAAATTTTTGTAAATGTAACTTACTCGTTGTGTAAATATATATAACCACCCTTAATTTAGCTTGAGTACATTGTGATTTTAATTTATTAAATAATTAAAAAGTAAATACTTTTTTACTTATATTGTTTACAAACACGTTTATTTAATTTTCTTTTCTTTTCGTATTTATCTAAACAATATTTGTCCACATCTAAACTTATAATTTGTTACAAAATGAAGGGACTGAAATAAAGAAAGGAACGTATGAAAATATGACCTAAATTCTAAGTAGGGTGGTTATAGGGTACATAAAAATTTATAGAAAACCAACTATCATCATCTACCTAAGGCATAGGAAAAACAAAAGGTCTCCAGCTATGTAAAATAAATTTTTTACATTTACTAAAAATAAATAAATAAATTTTTAACAACATAAGTGCAGTGTTTAAAAACTCGCCCTAGTCATTGACTCTGCCAAGGTTAGGGGTTATGGGGTCACTTCGCTGACCCAACTTTGTATTTTAAAAAATATAAATATATATCCTATATGAAAAATTCAAAAAAAATCAAACCACCAATCATCAAAGATTTAAAATATATTTAACATAATTCAACCAATTACATTCACAGGTCAATATTACACAATCTAAGCAAAATACAAACTATCAAACACATATTCTAATGGAGTTAACGAAAAGTTATATGATCAAACTCAGGCTCTCACTGTCCTTCTCCACCATTGCTGTCTAAACCTTGAGGAACAGTACTTTCATTTTGGGATACAATGGCCATATGAGGTTCATCATCTACATCATTTGAAATATTGGAATGAACTTCTCTGTATCAGTTGAAGTCACAAACAACAACAACTGAAAATTGAAGTCACACATAAACTTTACCTAAGAGAGAACGGCGGAGGAGAGGCAGCGGCAAGACGAACAAACAGTGGGGAGAGAAGAACTAGCATGATGGAGGAGAGAGAGAAGACCAAAGAGGAGAGGAGGAACCACCACCACGACGGAGGAGATTACCGGATCAGAGAGACTGGATCTGAGTTTGGGAGAGAAGATCGAAAGAGAAGAAGAAGAACGATTCAAATTTCAGATCTAGTTCTAGATGTAGGCAGCAGCGAGTTTTTTATTTTTTTTTTGTTGTTTTTTCTTTTATTTTTTTACACACCAAATGACGTCTTTTTGAGTGTAAATTTTTTTTAAAAAAAAAACAATGACCCCCTCTGTCTTAAGAGTCACCAAGATCCTGTCAGTTTTCGAGGGTCAGAGGGGTTAACATACCTTTTGAGTCTAACTGCTAACCCTAACTCTCAAAGAAAGGTGGTCAGTGACTCGGGGGTCGATCCCGGAGCAGGGTGGTGTCTTAAAATACTGTATAAGCGTATTTATAACAGCTTTGAATGAAATATAGTATACAATTGCATGTTGAAAATTCAAAACAGAATTTGAAAACAGTCAACAGTTATACTAGAGAATCCCATTAATGCTGTAAATGAACTTCGGTAATTATATATAATAATCTTAAGTTCTTAATTAATATTTTAAATTAAAAAAATGAAAAGAGGAAGTTTCGAGTCGAAGCAATGACGCAATATTATGACCAAATGTGAAGACAGTCTTTAATATTGAAGTAACGCAATTTCGCTGTGCGTACGGGTTTTGTGGAATCCTGCGTTACCTCTTGTGAAAAATAGCAAAGGTATATGTCATATCAAAAAAAATAATAGTATAAAACAGGTTCATCTAATATTGCTGACTTGTCATGCTACCAATACACATGTATATTTATTTTTTATTTTTTATAATAATATTACCATATCAACCTTTATGTTAACAGAGACTTCTTTTTGCCTCAAACAATTTTAAAAACACACCTGCCTGATATGTATAGAAGAATTTATTTCCCTATTTGCTAATGTATGATACAAATAGCTTTACGTGTCATGTATATCTTTGACCACCGCAACAACTTATTTGGATTATATATCAATTTTTCAATGAAAGCACTTTATATTAACTTGTAGGTGGTAAAATTAAGGAACTGATCTTCACTTGAGTTCGAAAAAACTATATACATACATGTTTAAATTAACTTATTAAATACCAGAAAAGTTTTTGGGTCAAGAACTATTTCTCATACATTCTTATCAACTATTATATAAGTGAATTATACCAAACACACATTATCTATTTTTAGTCAAATCATTTTAATCAATTTAAGTTTTTGGGTTGAGACATAATGTCGAATTCACTTATTATTAAGGTTTTAAATTAAGATATGGTATCAAATCCATTTAATGAGATTGGTTTAACTAAGCCCATTGATGATAATCCCTCGCATGGAAATAATGCTGATAAGAAATAATGCTGATAGTGATATCTTGAACTAATATTAAGAGAGACTGTTATAAAAAAAAAAAAAAAAAAAAATATTAAGAGAGACTGTCCCAATACTATTTTTTTCATTCTTAAAATTCAAATTCAAATTCAAGACAACTGATTAAATTCAACTTCAACAAATGATTATTAGTGATGCTGTTCATCTAAAACACAATGGAATGGGATTATGGGAGTAATATAAAAGAGAGTGCTTGAGGCTCAATAAGGGGCAAAGCATGAGGATGGGGATGAAGGGCTATTATGTAATTTCAATGTTCAACATTCACCACCTCTTTATATAAACCCTCCTAAAAGCACAGGTTACTGTATCCCATGTACTTTATTCATATCTCTTTATATTATTTTACCTAGGTTTCATCAGTTTCAGAAACATTTTCTTTTATTTCTTCTACATTGGAATGGAAGATCATCAGGGCCAGCATGAGCCTAATAGTCCAAGCCAAGGCTCTGAGAGGAGTGAACCTGTGAGATCAAGATGGACACCAAAACCAGAACAAATCCTCATACTTGAGTCCATCTTCAACAGTGGAATGGTGAATCCCCCAAAAGATGAAACCGTCAGAATAAGAAAGCTTCTTGAGAAATTTGGAACCGTTGGTGATGCCAACGTTTTCTATTGGTTCCAGAACCGCCGCTCCCGTTCCCGCCGCCGCCAACGGCAGTTACAGGCCAGCCTTGAGGCAAGAAACCCCATGAAGCCTCAACTTGGCGGTGCAAATCAATATCAACAACAACATCATCATCATCATCATCATCATCATCAAACCATGAACTCTGCTGCTACTGTTTCAACCATGGGTTTTGGTGCTTCATCTTTCACTAATTCTCCTTCATCTTTTCTCTCTGGTTCCTCTTCTTCATCATGTGGTGTTGGCCAAGAAGGCTTATTGGGTGGTTTTTTCTCAGCCTCTACTCAAATGGGGTTCCCTGAAATTGATCACACTTTAGCATCATCTTCATCAGTTTTGTACACTTCTGATGCTCCAAATTTGAACTACCACCACTCTGGTAATTAGTTGCATGCTTGTGTGGTGTTTCTTAAATTTTGTTAATCTTTTAGCTTGAAGAAAAATACAATTTTGCTTTCTTTTATTTCATTATTATATCAATTCTCCACATTGTTTTCTTACATAATTTCCCATCAATTCCACATTTTAAGGCTAGGTTGAGGATTAAAATGAGTATTGGGGTGTAAAATTTGTGTTCAAATGTTATTAGTTTAGTGCTTTTTGTGTGTAAAAGTTCTTATTTTTCGGCTGATTAGGTTTGGGGGGGGCCATAGAATAAAGTGGCAATCTTTTTCATGATTTGACAGTTCCTGCGATTGAATTGCAAGAAAGTCATACTTTCCCGGAAAAACATGAGGTTACTTTCCGGTTTCAGTATCTGTTTCTCCCTTTTTTATTCCCTCAATTCTATTCTGGGTTTCTTCCAAACTTCTTTAAACCCTAAAATTTTTTCTCTGTTGTTCTCAATTTGCTAAATTGATTATTCCCTTCTTGTATATAATCTTTTAAAGTAATGCATAATGTTCATAATTACACAATTCATCAAAGGTTTGTACTTTTTTTTCTTTTTTTTTTGGTAATTGGCCAACAAAATTCAGGAATTGATGAAAGCCTAAGCCTTTTCTGAAAGGGAATCAGCTTGTTTTGCTTTACATTATCATCTCTTTTTCCCTATTGAAAAGAAACATATATATCTTTTTTATTTTGTAAGATTAACTATGGTTGATGTTCTAATTTTTATTTTGTTAATTTTGGGGGTAGGATTTGGGGGCACAAATATTTCAGGATTCATCACAGTGTTTATCAATGGGGTTGCAACAGAAGTTCCAAGGGGCCCAATTGACATCAAAACAGTGTTTGGTGAAGATGTAATGATAGTTCATTCCTCTGGAGTGTCAGTTCCTACCAATGAGTTTGGTTTCTTGATGCAAAGCTTGCAGCATGGTGAAAGCTACTTTCTGGTTAGCACTTAGCATATCTGCAAATTAATCAATTGCTTCTATATTATTATTCTTTTTCTTTCACTTCTCTGTGTATTATTATTATTTTTGTTAGTATTATTATTATTATTTTATTATTTTATTATTATTATTGCCTTATTAAAGATAATTTTGGGAGGCTGTTTTCTCTGTCTAAAACTAAATCAATTTTTGTGATCAAGATTATTGAATTTTGGTTACAGGTTTCAAAGCAAACACAAGTTTGAACAGTTCAAAAGCTAGCAGCCTAGCACCAATTGAAGCTTCCGTTACATGTTTCTCTAATATATTGTCTGGTCCTTTTTTCTTTTTCTTTTTTTCATTTTCGTAATCTTTGATATTAGAGACCTACTATGTGATTACAAAAGTCCATATCTATATCTTATTAACAGTTATATATATACTTTACGTTCTTATCCTTGTTTTAGCACATACATCTAAAACTCTATGAAAGCAAGTTGTGTAATGTATCTTCCATTTATCTCTCTCTCAGTTCTTTAGTATGCATCTTAATATGATTGATGATTAAATTAATTAAATTTATGACTTGTTACTTCCTTCAATATAACTCGACTAGTCCTGCTTCAGCTCTCTCGTTGGAGAATTTAATTTGTTAGAATAATATTAAAACCTGGTAACTATTATTTTATTTATTCCAATATTTGTCATATAATAATTAACAAGTAATATATGCTGTTTCCCTTAGTTGTATTCTATCTAATGAACATTGTAGAGAACTAAAGATGACAACTTTACATCCATAAAAGAGATAATAGAAAGCGGGACAAGGAAGTTGCGTTGGGAAATCAACAAACAAAAGTGAAACAGATTATTCGGTTTGAGGCTGGATGGAAACATATCTAACTCTGTTTGACTTGTATTGTCTAACTTCCCATTTGTTACTTTCTCGAGGAGCAAAATAGGGGAAGGCTGACACACAGCTACTTCACTCGTTCTTTTAAGAAAAGACCATGATCATTGAATCTTTCAGTTTATAGAATTTTTTATGGTGCTACATTACAACAATTTGATGGTCTATCTGAAGAATTAACGTTATCAACCATTACAGACAAAGGAACTAACTAATATATGAATGTTACTTATAGAGCTTATCCAATCTAGGACATATAATAATAGATGCATAGTTGAGTGGATAGGGCCTTCACCATAATAATGTGAGAAAGAAATATTTTATCGCATTAATTTCAAATCCGAATATTTTGTTAAAATAATATAGTGAGATGTATATAAGAGGTGTGTACATTCAAATCGCGCATGAGGTGATGCGCGATTTGTGTAAAAACGAATGTACACATATGGGGGATGTAAACATTCAAGTCATGTATGGGAGTGATCCGTGACTTACAGTGTGCAACATGTGGCCAGCGTGCACTTGCTTTTGTACAAATCTCACATCACCCCTTGCACTACTTAAACGCACACATCCTTATGCGTATCTTACTCTACATTATTTTTTGACAAAATATTTAAATTTCAAATCAATATGATAAAATATTTCTTTGCTCACACTAAATAAGTCAAAAGGCCGGGTGATAGCCTTATATTAATTTACCACTGAATATAAATGGAACTTGCTACCATGTGGAGTTCTCTTTCGTCAGGGAAAGGAGTTATATATAAAACACTTTTTATTGGGATAAAAACTAAACAAATTAGATTAGATGTTATTTCGCTATCCTTTTTGAAGGACTTTATTTATTTTTTTCGAGGGGCAGGGGGGAATAAATAATAAGCTTTAACTGAAAGGTTATTCACATACACATAAGATGAACCCAGAGAATCTTGTACAACATAATTTATTGTGTGAAAACCTTCATTTAGCACTTTGACATATTAAATATTCACAAATAATGAAGAATATAGAAATGCACCTTAGTTGCCTTATAATACAACTAGTAGTTCGATATAGGCATACTGTGTCAGAGGTAAATATTTAGTACTGAATGGAAGAACGGTTTGTTATTTATGAAACACTTGAAACAAGTCCAAGATTTTGTTCGATGAAAGTGCATGGCCAGTACGTGGATTCCTTACTGGAGCTAAGAGAGATACAAAAACGCAAAGAATAATTCTGCAGCTTGGTCCCCACACCGACCAAAATAACCAATGCAAATCAGACGGATGTTTGTAACAAATTTCTTGGATTCTTTTGAAGATTATAGTAGTATCAGAACATATTAGAGGGCACACTAACTTAGAAATACCATGTGAGATACATAAGTTTTATTGGTTGGCATGTCAATTAAATTATACAATTGCATCCCTATGTTAGATTCTGTGTTCTGGATGACATATTTTGAGGTGATTATTTTAATGGGTATGAGGATTATAGATTTTGTTGACCAGGAAACAAGTTAGTCGTTCATGTTGAGAATTTCAATATGCATGTATGGGTTTTTTTAAATGGAGCTCATGATTAATTTCAAGGGTCTAAGCTGAGATTGGTATAATTTTAGTCTGAAATCCAGCTGGGATTACTTTGTTTCTTTGTGAACTGTGAAGCTTGTAGATTCGGTCGCTTCACCCACCCTTCTTTTGTTTTCCCAAATTTATTTGTACGTACTTCTGTATTTTATTATTTGTACATTAAAAAATACATTAAGTTATATATATGTTGGAAATAATCAAGTATGAGTTGTAAAGAAGTATCACATAGACTAGACATAGACCAAGTGATGACCATATAAGTGCAAAAGACCCATAAACCTACAGCCTTAAGGTTTTGGGTTAAGATGTGGTGTCGGCCCACTTATTATGGTTTGGCATTTGGCCCATTGGTGGATGTATCATTTGCAAAGGGTTTTGGGCTCCCTCGTTGCATTCCCAACAGTGGTATCAGAGCCAATGATCTGGGCTGGGCCAAGTGTGTTTGGAAGGCCTCTGCAGAAGGCTAGTGTGACCCTAATATTTGAAAGAGAAAAAAAAGAGACTTCCGCAGAAGTTGCCCTTAGGGTAAGAATGATATTGGGCCTCACACTTGAGGGAAGATGTTGGAAATAATCAAGTATGAGTTGTAAAGAAGTATCACATAGACTAGACATAGACCAAGTGATGACCATATAAGTGCAAAAGACCCATAAACCTACAGCCTTAAGATTTTGGGTTAAGATGTGGTGTCGGCCCACTTATTATGGTTTGTCATTTGGCCCATTGGTGGATGTATCCTTTGCAAAGGGTTTTGGGCTCCCTCATTCCATTTCCCAACAATATATATATATATATGGGAGAATCTTCTTATATTGGTGTAAGAATAATGATCTTATACCAAATCTTAATTGTTGATTTTCGTATATGTAACACCTCGTATATATCCGGTAATGTTATCATACTATCGTATTAAGCAGCGCTTATTTAAAAATGCGGAATATCTTTTTCTTTTCAATTATGATGTCATTATCATTACCAAGTTGCTTATTAATCATTTAATAAAACATCGCCCGTATGCAATTGCAATAAAACAGCTAACTGAAAATACCTCATAACATAGATAATAAAAGTGTGGCTCTAGTCACGGAACTACAACAACGTAGACCTGACCATCTAACAATTTATACAACTTCAATCTAAAAGTACTAACATAAAGTGTCATGAACAATCCCCATGCTCACTCAAATAAGGCAACGCGCCCAACATCAGTCTCAACAACAACATAAGCATAAATAGCGGAAAACATAAACAGCATCCATATCCAGTCATGGCAGCAATACAGCATAATATCATCAACTAAGCTCTGGCCTCCTGCCGCCAGAGGCATCAGTCACCAAACTACCGGAACCTGAAATAAGCATTCCCCAAACGTGGGGTGAGATCTCTAAACAAGAAATCTTAGTAAGGCAAGGGGTCCTCAAGGATCTTCCACCCCAAGCTCACTTACATGTGCAATATAAGTTCAAAAGCAGTTATCATTATCAGTTCTAAAATAGTGCAATGCAGCAGATAATCATGTCATGTGTGTCAATTCTATTCTACTGGCCAGAGAAATGCAGGATTTATATACGTCTAATACCCACAAATAATGCAAGACGCTACTTGCATCCACCCCGGATCACCGTCTTGTATGACGCTACATACTCAGGCTTACCGTCAAGATAGAACAACACATGCATATTAAAAGTCATTACACATAAAGCTCAACAGCATTTCAAATATTCAAAGCATGTAACACAGCATGCATATAACCATACCCCCACGGGACATGGTGGAACCACAACATGGCTAAACCGAGGACACAAATGCTTACCTTACAAGCTAACACCCAAAGCCAAGAGTCCACAGCTCAAAGTCCAAACACAGCAGATTCACAATCTGTTATGGACCAATACTATATCAATAATAATGCACCACAAGCATATAACTTAAAGACAACGCATTTCCTTACGTTTTACGTCTTAAGGCTCCATACCAAGCCATAAGCCCTTAATCACTTGATTCTGACTTAGTTCATTAGTTACAGAAGTTCAACTTCATAAATCTAGGGTCCACAAACCCCCAATAGCCTACTGTACACACAACACAGCTACTGTTCTACGAAATCCCAGAATATCCGGATATTCCTCGGGACCATATCCGGATATACTATATCCGGATATTTCACTGTACATATCCGGATATACAATATCCGGATATCCAGATTCCCATATCCGGATATCTAATATCCGGATGTCCAAATCCCATATCCGGATATCACATATCTGGATATTTCTCGGGCAGATATCCGGATATTTCACGAGAGAATACAGAAACTGCATTTCGTGAAGATATCCTTCCAAGGTTGGGTTTTTACCGATTTTAAACACCTAAACATGCATTCCTAAGTGTGTTTGACCAACCCCAACATTAAGTTATCATCTTTTAACCTTTACATGCATCAAGGTTCCATTTTTAAGCTCAAAGACTCATGATCAAAGGTGATGAAGCTTACCAAAGCTCAAACTCAGAAAAAGGGTACTCTTGGAGCTCACACAACATCTCCAAGGTTCTGACTTCAAGGGTGCACGAAAATACTACCCAAACAAGGATCTTTCTCACCAAAGGTGGCTCCTTGAAGCCACTCAACCAAAGAACAAAGGCTTCTTCCCTCAAGGCAAAGAACTCAGCCCAAGTACTCAACAAAAAAGAGGCTGGACATTCAGAAAAGCACCTTCACACCCTCACGATGATAACTCTCAAGTGTTTACAAGGAGGAAGTGTGGAGAAAACCAAGAAA